GAGAGAGAGAGAGAGAGAGAGAGAGAAAGAGAAAGAGAGAGAGAGAAAGTAGGCATGCAGACAGGCAGTCGTAGATGAGGTGAAGGTCATATTTGCTCAGATACAAAGCGGGACGTCATCCTCGGTTTCGTTTTACCTACCAAAATTATTCTTTTGATAAGATACTCTTCTTTTAAAATGAAAAAAAATTTAATGAAAATTTTTTGAACGTTAATTATATTATATAATAAATTTATATATTTTATAAATTCTTTTATTTACATTTAAAGAATTTGTGTTAATTTATTGAAAAGTTCATAATACATATTTTTAAATTATCTCTTAAAAATGATAAATGATAAATAATATATATTTTTTTCATTTTATACGTAACTTATCAAACGGTTTCAATATATCTAGTTACGGTATGAAATGTTTTATTCGTTTGGTTCGATACATATTCTATATCCATAATGAAATTACTTTAATTAAATTTATTTAGTATTTAATATCAATGCTTTCATTCATTAGAAAAAAATTTATAAAAAAAATCTTATAACAATCGTTTGCTCTTCTGAATTATTAAAAAGAAAAAATTTGATAGATATATATATATAATTTTTTTTAATATAAAAATCCAAGAAAATTGATCATTTGAACGTGTCGAGTTGTCGATCGCACTCTTTCTCGAGCTCCCATGACGTTTTCCTCGACCGTATTCCACTGCGAGTTTAGACGATGACGTCACTGATGGCTAACCGGTTACGTCATTGAATTCAACGTGTATTAGGTGCCCATGCAGGAGATAATTTCCAACTGTATCATCGATCATGCTCCCTGTATTTTTTTTTTCAAATTTTTAAAAACGAATGTCAAAAAGTGAATTAAATAACATTTGTTATCACGATTGCAAAAATTAGTAATAACATATTTATTTATATTAGAATTAGATTTCTTGTATTATCAAATTTGCAATTGAAATAGATTATAAATAAATAGATTAGTATAACAGATTTTTTTTTTTCTCCTATGATTTATCACTAGGTGATAAATCAACATATTATACATATGTATATGGATCTAAATTACTTTTAATATAATTTCGCTCACACAAATGTACTCATCATTATACCGGATCTGTGTAAATAGCAGCGTAACGTGAGATGTTCCATTGTGTACAATATGAATAGAATTTTTTTCGAAATTGAAGTCTATTGTGTACGATGTACATATAATTTTCACTTTTATTTTATTTGATTATAACTCGTAATTATTTTCTGCTTTATTTTAATTTGATTAATTTTTGTCTCTCATTTTCAAAATATTATATACATGTGTAATGTTTCAATTAACGACAAAGGAAAAATGATACACTATATTTCACATTTGAAGATGTCAAGAAGAATTGTTATCTAATTTTAATCGAACTAACAATGCTGCGAATGTGTTTTACTAAAAATAAATTTGTCAGATACCCGCGTTAAACGGTTAGAGTGAAGTTGCCAAATTTGATTAAAGCGAATGCAATTGCCATGAATTAAATCAAATCTGACTGCGGTTATTCGATATCTAATAATATCATTGGTAAGGAGTTACAGTTACTCAAAATATTCGGATGAATCGTTTTTAATACGCTTAAATAATCAACCTTTCTTTTCTTTTGCGTTTCATTATCTGGATGAGGAAAATAAAATTAAAGTGGTAATAATATAATCATAATCTGATTTGATATCTAAGTCTAATTGAAAAATTCGTTCATGCTATAAAATCCGTTCATTTCGTGTTGATTATAATAAGTAGCACGAGTTGCAAGTTGGAAGATGGTTCAAGGCCTAGTTACTTATTATGTTGCACTATGTTCGAGTATGTGATAAACATTGAGATGATTCATCGTTGATGATAAAATTGAAATGCGATTAAGAGAATTTGCGAATAAAATAATCATGAATATTGATTATATATAACGCGCTATTACGATATAATTATGTATTATAGACGCTAAGTAAGACAACAATTCGAGCTTTGATTTACGATCACGTAATAAAGTTGCACTCTTCATCTATGATTAATCAATTGAATAACTTTATATATATATTATATTATATTATATTATAAATATATAATATTTGGAACAATGCATATTTCACTTCAATGTTTCCTGAGTATCTCTTTTTGAATTAAAAAATTATGATACGATTCTTTATACGAATATACGAATATATTTATAACATGTTTTATATATATATATATAAAATTATAAAATATAGCGAGTGAAGAATTTCATAATATATTTTTTATCAATTTTCAATTATTTTTTTTCTTTATTTTTTCATTCACGTTAAACTTAATTTATTTTTTTCTCGGAATGAGCGTTGATTCATTTCTACGTGTAAGCGTTATTTCTCAGCCATTGTATCACTATATAGTTATTCCATAAATGCAAGAATTATGTATAATTTAGATTATAATATTTTGCAAAAAAAAAAAAAAAAAAAAAAAAAAAAAAAAAAAAAAATAACGCGCAATCTTTTTTTTCTTCTTTTTCTTCTTCTTAGAATTCTCGCTCACTTTTAAATCAAACTCATCTCTCTCTCCTGTATAATTTTACAGATTCGTCGGATATCGTCGATTCGAAATTAAAGTTAATTCTGGGTCTAATATGGACGTTAATTTTACATTATTCGATATCGATGCCTCTGTGGAACGGGGAGGAGGTGTCTCAGTCCGAGGGACCGAAGCAAAGGCTAATCAGTTGGATAAAGAGTAAAGTCCCAGAATTACAGATCAATAATTTTACCACCGATTGGAACGATGGCCGTGCAATCGGTGCTTTGGTCGACGGAGTCGCATCTGGCCTCTGCCCCGATTGGCCGAATTGGAATAAAGCTGATGCAATTCAAAATGCGTCGGAAGCGATGCAATTGGCCGATGATTGGTTGAATATACCTCAGGTAAACCATAATTATTCTATTACAAAATTGAAATGTTGCGCAGAGAAAAAGTATGAATCGAAGGAATCGACGATCCTTTTTTATTCCTTTTCTTGATTCTATCTTACGCTATCTTTTTCACGCAGCTTATCAAACCAGAGGAAATGGTTAATCCGAATATAGACGAAATGTCGATGATGACGTATCTTAGTCAATACCCCAACGCAAAATTGAAGCCGGGGGCACCTCTTCGACCACGTGCCAATAGAAACAGGTATGCAAATTGATCAATTAATTTTTAATTTGGATAATTTTTAAAACAAAAAGTCAAGATAAGTCGAACAGCAATTCGTATAGATAGAATTTCGTTGAAATGGGAAAAATTGATTGTGATGATTAATGAATCTATTTTGTTTTCCGATTCCAGTATCCCGCCACCGCGGTAAGTTGCGTAGATATCGTGTTTTGACGTTCTTTTTTTTTTTTTTTTTATAGCTGTTTATACTTTTGTCACATAATTAATAATTACGCACAGTTTGATCACGCAATTAATTCCTAACTATTCGATTAAAATATTGTAATAATGTTCTTGTAATTCTTACGCATTAGATAGTTATATTTTGTTGTTGTCCATTTTGTTCTAATCAAACGCCTTAACTCGTTTTAGTAATAGATCGAAGCAAGAATTTTTTCTCTTTTTTTACATATTAATTTACTATAGATAATAATGTAAATATGTGTTAAAAAAAATCTTTCTTTTATATTTTCAACGTCATTATTTATTTATTTATTTTTTTTATCAACAATTAAGAATACATACTTATTACTATTATTATGAGGAAACTCTGCAAAAATTATTTCTTTTTTTTATAAATAAAAATTACTGTAAAGAAGTATAAAAATTTAGAAATTAAAATCATAAATTTTAAATAGCTGTACTTTACAAATTGAATATAATTTTGCTCCATCTACGTTATTTTTATGTTTCTTGCTTTATTTTATTTGAAATAGGAATTAGTTTCGAGATAAAATTAAAGAAATGTTAATTTTTATTTATGGTGATGTAATTTTTGATTTAGAGTACGTGCTTACGGGCCTGGTATTGAACCAACCGGTCCAGTTATAGGAGCACCGGCTAACTTTACCGTCGAAACGTTTTCTGCTGGTAAAGGGGATGTTGACGTCATCGTAGAAGATCCTGAAGGAAATAGAATACCGGTAAGAATATAATTTGTTATGGTGGATGGCTCTACCATAATTAATCATGCATAAAAAATTGTTAATATTCTTTAATTATTTCACTCTTTTTGACGTCCTGTTATTATTATTCTTATTATTTCTTTTATTATGTTAGCAAGCATGTATTTATCTACTTATCACGAATAATATGGTTAACCACCGTTCAGGAAACTTCTACGTTCGTTCATCTAATCGCAACTAAATTAGATATAAACCAGCATTCGGATGACGTAATAGTTAATTTTATAATGTTTTTACATTTCTTTCTTACGGTTGTTTCGATCGAATTCACGAAATTATTTAATTATTATTTAAAAAATATTTTGAAAATCGAAAAATACATTTAATTGAAAACGAACGAAATATAAACAATTAAAATCGTTCAAATTATAATTCTGGCACGTGTGATTTAATTGTCAAGACCGTCAATCACACGTTGTCACGTACACGTTTCTCTACCTGTAGAAGAAACTACATTTGCATAAATTATATTGAACAATTAATTGTCAGATTTCCAAATAAATACGTGATCAAAATTGCGATTAATTCGTGTATTTTTTTTTTAATAATCATGTTCTTCTCCAAGGTCGACGTTAGATTCAACAAGGACAAGAATCTCACCTATTCCGTGTCGTATACCCCAAAGAAGGAAGGGCCGCACACGATAAAAGTACTTTTCGCTGGAAGGGAAATACCGAAGAGTCCTTATACGGTGAACGTGGAGGCGAAGGGAGGGGATCCCGGTAAAGTTACGACAAGTGGACCAGGATTACAGCCAGAAGGAGTTATGGCGAACAGACCCACTTACTTCGATATCTTCACAAAGGCCGCTGGACGTGGTGTGCCGGAAGTTATTATCTTGAACGCGCAGGTAAAACGATTATATAGATATAATAGAAAAGGAAGAAATTTAAAAATATTCGCGTTTGAAAATGGTGAAAATTTTGAAAGGAACCGGAGACAATCGTGCCTGTGAGATTGCGGCAACCTTTACCAGAAGTGTGGGCATGCGAGTACACCGCCCCCAAGAAAGGCTCGTATTCCGTAAATGTGTTCTTCGCCGGAAAACCGATACCCGGAAGTCCTTTCAACGTTAAAGTAGGCTCAGTGTCGGATACTAAAAAATGCAAGGCCTATGGACGAGGCTTATTACCGAATGGGGTTCGCGTTCAAGACGATGCAGATTTCGTTATCGTCACGAACGACACAGGGGACGATCTGCCCATAGTTAAAATCATCGGTCCAGGAGGGATTAATCAACCTGTACAGTGAGTCATTCGTTCGCTTCTTCTTCTACTACTACTCTAAATATAACCAATGTTATCGTTAAGAGATAAAGGAGAGCACGTTGTACGTTTCAGCATGACCAAAGTCGATCAGAAAACGCACAAATGCAATTACGTGCCGAACAAAGAGGGGAGGTACGTGGTAATGATCACGTATGGCGGGAAGGAAATTTCCAAGTCGCCTTTCGAGGTGAACGTTGGCCCATACAAGGACTCGTCGATCAGGGTTTGGGGCCCCGGCCTACGCACCGGGATCGTCAATCACACGGCCAAATTTTTCATCGACGCGAAGAAGGAGAACGCCGGTCTCGGGTTCGCGATCGAAGGCCCTTCGGAGGCGAAAATATTTTGCCAGGACAACGGGAATGGAACCGGCGTTATATCGTATTTGCCAACCGCTCCTGGCCAATACGCGGTTCGCATATCGTGCGACGGCGAAGACATCCCCAAGTCCCCCTACATCGTCGACATTTTACCGAAAGGTGACTTCGATCCTGACAAGGTTCGATTTTACGATACTTCGTATGGTATTTGATAAGAAATGAAATTTGAAATAATTTCATCTTCTTCAAATTTGAAATTAAATAAAATTCTATAGGGTCTTGTCGTCCCATAATTAAATTTTAGAATTTTAATTAAAAATTTAAATTCATTAAATAGTTTAGAGACAATTATTATTTCATTAATTCATTCATTCAATTCTTCAATTAAAAGACAATTTATTATCCTACCTTTGTACAATCAATATACGGCAGCTGTTTAAATTAAGTTCATAGAGCAGATCGACTTAAAATTATAAACAATAGAACATGTTTTTGATAAACAAGTGAATAATTCATTTGCCGAGTTTCTTTAAATTATTTTACATAGTTAAAATTTTATTATAAAATATATTTTATTATTAATTTAATCATTATTTCTATATTTTTCTAATTTTAATATACATTTTTATATAAATAAATAAAATTATTAATTTAAATCTTTAATCATCAAAATTAAATTATTAAATTTTTTAAATTAAAAAAAAATATTATTTCTATAACATTAAAATCAAAAAATTCTTATTAAAAATTTATAGTAAATTTGAAATAATTAAGAAAAAAGAAAAGAATTATACAGTTTTTGTAAATTGAAATCGAGAAACTTAACTCTAATCGTATACAGGTTGAAGTATACGGTCCAGGAGTGGAGTCTTTGCTCAGTGGCAAACCAACGAATTTTACCGTGGACGTGAGAAAAGCTGGCCAAGCACCTTTGGAAGTGATCGTTCAAGACGGGGACGGAAGAGACGTACCCGTTCGTTTGGAGGACAAGCACGATGGAACGGTCCAGTGTCATTACACCCCTATATCTAATTCGGATCACGTTGTAATGGTGAGAAGGAAGAATTTCGTATTTCGAGACTCTATGGAATATCTGCACAACAAATTTTATTATATTTAACTCGAGAATATAGAAAAATCTGTATCTGTATCTTGAAAATTTGTTTCTCGTAGGTGGTGTACGGAGGAGTGGCGACAAAGTACTCCCCTTACAGAGTGAAGGTGGAAGCACTCGTAAATCCTTCCATGGTAACGGCGTACGGGCCAGGGTTGGAGAAAGGGGTGAAGTCGAACGTGCCGACTCATTTCACCGTCAATTGCCGCGATGGCGGCCCGGGCGAGCTTCGGGTGAGCATTAAGGACAGCGAGGAGAAAGAGATTCCGTTCTCGGTCACGGATAACAAGGACGGCACGTACACTGTTACCTACGTGGCACGGGAGCCAGGCGCCTGCGTCGTAAATTTGAATTACGGGGGCGTGAATATACCCCAGTGTCCCATAAAGGTTAACGTGCAATCAAGCGTCGATGTATCGAAGGTCAAAGTGGACGATCTTGCACGGAGTAAGTATAAAATAATCTGTCTTTCTCTAATCGTAATCGTTATAATTCGATTATTTAACCGTTTAGAACTCAGTGAAAATTTAATTTAGCTACGAATAAAGTTACTTCGATAAGTTATTGTTCAAAACATAATAATAACAATCGCGAATAATTGTAATGGCTTACTGAGAAAATCGGATCGACAATAATAACTACGAATAAAATGTAATTATTCGAGCATTTTAACGAGCAGTAATTAATTTAAAGTAACTTTATTCGAAATTTTTAATTAATTTACTTTTTCAATGCCAATTCGGTTGGAATTAAATGGCATAAAACTTTTCGCAAAGGATGTTTTTTGAACAGGAAAGTTCAAGTTGGAAATTTAATTTTCCGTATATAGAATTGTATCAAATTTACACACGCATACACACACAGCAAAATTTTATTCCGATTTATATTTGCAACCACGAAATTATCCAACTTGTCACACGTGATCCGTATTAAAATAACGACAATGAAATAATATCGAGTATGAAGAAAAGAATCGGTCATCCAAACGATATCCAAAGATATTTATTTTACTCGAGCACTAAATTACTCGAGATCGACGAGAAAGGCGAAGAAAACTGAAACTGAATTCGAAACTGAATCCATCCAGCCGCCCCGGTGAACAGCTTGCAGCAATTCCGCGTGTTGACCCAGGACGCGGGCAGGCCGGCGGACTTTCAGGTGACGATCACAGCTCCATCGGGGAATCGCGTCAAGGCTCACGTGGTCCCGACCCACGAGGGTTACCTGGTGAATTTCACGCCCACGGAGCTCGGCGAATACCTTTTGGCGATCAGTTTCGGCGGAGAGCCGATAACGAATCAGCCGTATCGATTGACCTGCGTGCACGGCTCCGACCCCGAGAAAGTTCGTGCCTCCGGGCCGGGCCTATCCCACGGGGTGGTGAACAAGCCGGCTGAGTTCGTGATCGACACCCGTGGAGCTGGCCAAGGCAACCTCGGCGTCACCGTCGAAGGCCCCTGCGAGGCTGCCATCAATTGCCGCGACAACGGCGATGGCACGTGCTCCGTCGCGTACCTGCCGACCGAGATCGGCGATTACGGTATCAATATCACGTTCAACGAGAAGCACATCCCTGGATCACCGTTCCAGGCAATCGTTGTGAAAGACGTCGATGTGTCGAAGATAAAGGTCACTGGAACCGGGATACAACCGAACGGTACCGTGCTTGTCGTGTTCCAGAGTGTTCACCGATTTCGATTTTGCTTTTCATTAACAGAGATTTTCAGTGTTTCCTGGTTTCTTTTCTCTTTCTTTAATTATTTTTTTTAATAGTTTCGTATATGGAATGTACCTGCCACTTAATTCTTCTTCGTTATTTCTCACGTTATATATAAACGGCACGCATGCTTTGTGGTATTTTTGAACTTATATTTTTTTGCTTTGTTAGAAAAGGCATATGACGTTGAATTAGATAGTAATCTAGGGGAATTATTGCCACCTGGAAGTTGAAGTCGATCCATACTTTCGGAAGAAACAAAGGTTTCCGCCTCCCCTTTATCTTATCTCTAAAGATTTAGATTTAAATACTTTTCTTTTCATTTGCAGCAAGAAAATTTAATCGCTTTAGCGAGCACCGAGTTCTTCTTGCGTGATTGTTTGTTTTGTTTTAATTCAGAATTTAAAAATATACGCACACACATCGTTATAACACAATAACACGAATTTTTGAATTTCAGGTCCGTGCGTTAATCGCGCGACGGAATTCACTGTGGACGCGCGAGCCCTCGCGAAGGGGAAAAACGAGATCGACAAAGTTTCGTGTAGGATCAACAATCCGAGCGGCAACACGACCGAGAAAGTGATCGCTCTACAAAGTGACGGGACGTATTGCGTCAGTTACGTGCCGTTCGAGGAAGGCCCCCACACCATAGACATACGTTACGACAACGTCCCCGTGCCTGGTTCACCGTTTTCGGTCAACGTCCAATACCGCAGCGACCCGAGCAAGTGCAAAGCGTACGGGCCAGGCTTGGAGAAAGGATTCGTGAACAAGTACAACGTGTTCGTCGTAAACACGAAAGGTAAAAAGAAGCTTGGAATTCTCCAAATTCGAATCGACGCGATTATTCGATGGAGAATAACGAAAATAAACGATTAATTGTTGTTCAGATGCGGGAAACGGGGGTTTGGCTATATTGATGGAGGGCGATGACGGTTCGGAGGTGATTTGCAAGGAGAATGACGATGGAACGTGCAAGGTGCAATATTACACGTCGGCGCCCGGCGAATACGAGATATCCATCAAGTTTGCGGAACAGCACATTCCCGGCTCCCCCTTCCAAGTGTTGGTCGTCGACGAGACGCAGGCGAGCAACGTGACCGCTTACGGGGCGGGTCTGGAAACGGTGAGAGAAGGGATACCTACGAAATTTATAGTGAACACCTCGAAATGCAATTCGGCGCAATTGGATGTAATGTTGAAAACGAACAAAGGGCGTGTTCAAAAGCCGGTGATTAAAAACTGCGGGAATGGTATATACGAGGTCACTTACCAACCCCCGGCTGCTGGAAGCAATTTGCAAGTTGGGGTCAATTTTGACGGCGAAAATATACCAGGAAGCCCTTTCAAACCGGTAGTTTTGCCCACCGTCGAGCCAAATAAAGTCGTCATCTCGGGACCAGGAGTCTCGCCTGTTTGCACCGCCTCCTTCCCCGTCGATTTCATAGTGGACACTTCGAAAGCTGGATACGGGGATCTCGAGGTTCAAGTGTTGGTAAGTTGAAATTTCGGTATTTGAAGAAGTATTATGTACAGCGTTATACAATAGTCTTTCTTGAATTTTAAATCGTTGGTTTTTTTTTTGTATCTAGGGTCCGGATCAAATGCCTCGTAGGGTTGAAATTCAGGATCTCGGGGATGGGAAATACAAGGCGACTTACTTGCCCGACGATTGCGGCCGTTACAAAGTTAACGTAAAGTACGGGGATAAAGAGGTGCCTGGATGCCCAATATTCGTGCAGAGCGTGTCCACCGGAAAAGCTGAGAAATGTAAGATCAAAGAGGGTATTCAACACACTTTGGCTCAAGGTGAAGAGTATTGCATTACTGTGGACACCGAAAATGCAGGCCGTGGCGCGGTGACTTGTCGTATACGATCTACTTCTGGAAGGTAAGTTTCAATTTCTGTAAAATTAAAAATATATCGTGTCGTTTAAAAAAAGCAAAATTGGTTTGTATGATTATTAGACTGTAGATTTTTATGTAGAAATATATTAGGTTAAAACTAATATAGAGAAAATATTTCGTATTGTGATAAAAAACACAAAAAGAAATTAAAAATTTTGTCATTAAAAATCACTCGGAATGTAGAGAAAATCGTGCCTTTGAAGTCAGTTTTTGATTCGTTCCGATATCTCAATCGGATGTCGAATTATAAGGATTCAAAGTTTTCATAATAGTTGCATGAAATGTTATGAATGGGTCAATGACCTATATTTTTTCTTGGAAATGCGTATTATGTCCTTCCAGGAATCGCGTCTGTCTGGAGGTTAGGATAGGTCAATGAGACGAGTGCGATCGAGAGATAAAGACGGAGATATCGAACAATTAAAAAATTACCTTTTTCTTTACACGACTATATCTCGAGAACTGAAAGTCGTATCGAGATAAATCAAAAAACGTTTTAAAAGGGAATGTTTTATGTTTCTAATGAGCTTTTATTCATCGATTTTGAGTCACTATCTTCGGAGTTAGAGCGATTCAAACTTTTCCTAATTTTAATAGGAATTCTCTTAAGAGAATTTCAAGAAATATGTTTTTATTTTGAAATTCTATATGTTTATTTAGTATAAAATATTATATAAAATTGCAGAATATATAAAAAATATTGATTTGTATCAATTATTCACAGTCTAATAATTATCTATGTATTATTAATAAATATTTTTACTTTCATAACATAACATACATTTAACTAACACACGTGTATTGAGATTAACGAAGGTATAAGTCATAAAACTTTCACACAATCTATTGCACTTGAGATATTGATACGTTTATTCTAACTAAATTAGCATTTTGGCACAATGTAGAAAAGACCAAGTGTCATTTAAAGTGATAGACATAACATATCTTGACACGTCTTATTCAAGAGAAGAGTTGTGATACATTGTGTGGAAACCTTATAATCGATATGTTCCATGAAAATTATTTTATTAC